CTCAAAGAAGTGCTGGTTGTCAGAGTGGCAGTGGCGGTGACACTGCTCCTCGTGGTACTGACAGTGGTTAGGGTGGCACTCAAAGAAGTGCTAATTGTCAGAGTGGCAGTGGCGGTGACACTGCTCCTCGTGGTACTGACAGTGGTTAGGGTGGCACTCAAANNCTCAAAGAAGTGCTGGTTGTCAGAGTAGCAGTGGCGGTGGCAGTGCTCCTCGTGGTGGTGGCAGTGGTTAGGGTGGTTGTGGCTGGTCCACTCAGCTTCATGGCAATGAAGTCCCAGCCGCCAGCGTTGGAATGACCATGCCATCAAGTGCACCACCGACTGTGAAGCCGGCTGCCAACATGTTGCGGGATGAATCTAGCCGAATCGCTCTGAGCGTGTCCCAAGAGCTAGTTCCCGATTGACACGTCCACTGCCAGGACCCTGCGCTGTCGAGCTTCAGCACAAAACTATCCCTATGACCCAAATGTGAATTCCCATGAAGGCTGCCGCTTGTGTAGCCAGTCACCAGGATATCGCCGGAAACATCAAGGGCTGTTTCCATGGCCTGGTCGCGTCCACTGGTCCCCGTCTGGTACGTCCACTGCCTAGACCCTGTGTCACTCAACTTCATGACCACAATGTCAGCGCCGCCGGCATGCGGCTTCCCATGCAACGCACCGAACGCGTACCCTACCACGACTATGTCGCCAGAAGAATCAATTCGAACTGCCAGGGCTTGGTCCTCACCACTGGTTCCTGTCTGATAGGTCCATTGTTGTGAAAGTGAGCTATCGAGCTTCAGGACAAACATATCGTCGTTGCCAGAGTTCGAGTTGCCGTTCAATCCTCCAGCAGTGAAGCCTACCACCACGATGTCCCCTGATGCATCGGTATCAACTCCAAGGGCCCTTTCAAAATTGCTGGTCCCTGCCTGATACGTCCAAAGACGTGAACCTGCGCTATCCAGCTTTGTAACGAAAATATCACCGCTGCCAGCGTTTGAGTTTCCATCCAGCCCACCGTAGGTCTGGCCTGCGGTGACAACGTCACCCAATGCGGTCATGACAACTGCATAAGCAATGTCGCTCCCGCTGGTTCCCCCCTGATAGGTCCAGAGTCGGGTTCCTGCGCTGTCAAGCTTCATGACGAATAGGTCGTGACTCCCAGCATAGGGATCGGTACCCAACTGGCCCTCAGTGCGTCCAACCACGGCGATGTTGCCAGCATCATCGATGCCAACTGACTCAGGGACGTCGTCTGCTGAAGTTCCACTTTGAAAGATCCACTGAAGCAGACCGTGGCTGTCAAGCTTTATGACTGCAATGTCCCAGCTTCCAGCGTTCGTGTTGCCTCCCAAGTCGCCACCTGTGTGGCCTGTCAGGACGAAGTTGTCATACGAATCGATATGAGCATCATGACAAATGATATGTCAGCATCACTTGTCCCAATCTGGAAGGTCCAAAGCACTTGCTGCGCGCTGACCGCCAGGCACAGCCAAGAACAACCAGCAAAGCGCCCCATCCCCAGCACGTCACTACGTGCTCTGAGCTGCCGTGGTCTACTACTTACGAATTTCCTGGTGTGCACTCGTGCCACAATGACTGTGAAAGCAGGTGCTGAAATCTCAGTTCACAAACTCTCACACCAAACTCTCAGATGCAACATGAAAACGTGTTCTTCAAAGTGGAACCTGCTGAGCGCTCTACCCGTCGTTTTGCCCAGAATGAGGAGAGGCGGGCCTCAGTGGCACAGCTGGGGTCGCCTATGCCTAGGGTTTAAATTTGCAGTTTTAGGGTTTAGGGTTGGCTTTGGGGATTATTCGTTCCCTAAGATGCCCCGCCTTCCCCACAAGCGGGTTTAGCGTGTAGGGCTTTGGGTTTCGGGTTTCGGGTTTGGGGCTTTGGGGTTTGGGTTGAGGGTTTAGTGAGTTTAGGGCTTAACGTCTAGGGAGTTTCGGATGTTTACAGAGCGTTTAGGGCCTGGGTGTGACGACTGGAGGGCTGGGTGTTTAGGTCTTTGGCTGCAGGGTCAGGGCTTTGGGAGCTAGGGTTTAGGACTTTGGGTTTTGGGTCTTGAGGGATGACCCAATTTCCGGACCATCCTGAATTAAACTTCTAGACCTTGGTTTTTTAGGGTCTGTTTTGATAGGGGCCAGAAATAGGGAGCTATGAGAAATTAGCAGTCAAGGTGAACGTTTATTTTCCCCTGGCATTAGAACAAGTAGGATGAGGTTTAGCAAGGAGGTTAGGGCCCCGGATGTAGGGTGCAGGGTCCAAGTTTGGGCTCATGCCTGTCAGGGTCAGTGGATGCCGCAGGGTGCGTTGACCAAGCAGGCCGGCGTGCATGCGAACAAGGCTCGAGCTGGGTTGGCCCAGCTGGGACCCCAAGGGTCCAAAGGACCCTCCAATTAGGTACTCGGTTTTGGGATAATAGTTATGTGGGTTACTATTTTGGAGAGTATATGAGAATTAGGTACTTGGACCCTTAGGGGGAGAAAGCAAGCCGGGGGAAGAGGGGGCCTGCGTTTGGAGAGGGCCTGCCATCCTCATCATCATGCACATCCGATGCATCCATTGACTCAACCACCTCCTAATCCCTAACCTGCATGTTCACACCACATCACGATCGCATCGGCAAAGTCTGTTGGAAGGTAGGGCCTCTGAACCGGGAAACCTGTTACAGTACTGTAGGGGCCTTATGATTAGAATACGGTTTTGGGGTCCATTATACTATAACTATACTAAGGAAGCCCCAAAATAGTATAGGCGTTTTTTTTAGGCCCCGATATTAACCTGAATCTGGAAACCACGGCAGCAAATGTGGACCGAACCGAGCCCACCGCGACTTCTGGATTTTGGCCATGCGCTGCTGGATTTCCGGCTTCGCTTGTGGATCGTCCGCAGCGCTGGTGAAGGTCCTGTTCGAGGCCACAACAGATCCCGACAAGTTGAAGCTGTGGTAAGGCTTGAATGAATATGGGTAATTCTCTAAATTAGGGTCCCGTTTTCGGTCCCCAACAAAGTACGGCACCCTTAGAAAAGGGACCCTAAAAGGGACCCCAATTCAGAGAACTACCCATATCAGTCTGTACGAGAAACAGTAGGAATAGCCTACTCCGGCTGTGAGAACTTAGGCATTAGGCTGCCTCCCCTCTTACACCGCCCACCCACCAAATCGGCCGTATGAAAGACCCTCATAAAGCCACCTAAACCCGTTGCCTCTTTATTGTGGGACGTTAAGCTACGTCCCTTCCCTCTTACCCTTCAAGCGCATACACCCTAAACCTTTAAAGCTTAGAAACCTTAAACCCCAAAACTCCCTAAATCCTGTAAATATACACCTTAAACCTTAAACCCGAAGCTTAGGGCCCTAGGTCCTAAACCGAGAACCGGCCTGATAGCTCGTTTCGCTGCGGGGCTTCCGGCGCTTGCGGCGCGCTAGCCTCGTCCTGCTCTCGGGTTTGCGACTCCGAGCTTTGGAAGGGTTAGGGTTTAGCGTTTAGGGTTTAGGGTTTAGGGTTTTGCCGCCTACCCTAAACCCCAGAAAGTTGGTACATAGCTAGGATCCCTTATACTTAACCCTTAAGTGAATGAGGACTACAATGTTCCAACTTTATGGCTTCTACGACAAGTACCTTTCTAGTAGAATGTCGGGTTTCTATCGTGGGAACTACTATTCTGGTGTCGGTTAGTATCGCCCATATCGGTACGTAGGACCCTTTGGGCTGTGAAAAGGCTGTTCAGATGGTTCAAAACTAACAGGAACGGCTGTAAAGCTTACTCCACCATTGGGGATATTGAAATCAGAAAGCCCCTCATTATAGGGGTTCTGATAATGAGGATCCTACGATCCCAGTCTACGTGAATTTCCATGCGCACAAGGGTACGGGGAAGGCTTGAGACAGCTAGCTGTGAACTAAGCAACAGGCTCTGCTCTCACTGTGCCTGTGGGCGGAGATTGAAGTGACCGAGAACAATGCCCATTCAAAGATTTGAGTACTCCAGCAGCCAAAAGCATGATTCTAAAGAGATGTCTCTCTGCAATCATACCGGCTTAAAGTCTTGCAAAACCGCGTGCCCCCAATCGATCAGCCGGTTAGCTTGGCTTCGGGCCTCTTCCGACGAAATCTCCAACAAAGGATTCAACAGCCTCAGCGAGGTTTGCCCCAACGGGCTCTGGGAGGCGATGTCGGAAGGCACAGATGGTTCACGAGATCGCAGGCGAGTATGTGAGCTGGCTCCCATGTTATGCTTAAGAGCATGGGCCCCACTTCTCCCGAAGCCTACCATATATGGGCCTTGATAGTTGGTGAATATATAGCTTTTCGGATCCTTAGTAGGAACAGAATACAGTATATCCAAAAAGCCCTCTTCTAGTTCTAGTTCTTCAGACCCTCATATTAGGCACTTCACTGCTGACCTCCATCGTCTTTTGCAGACCTCTGGTCCAAGCTATTCCGGTTCCTGAACCCTCAAAGGAACCTCTAAGGGAATAGTCAGCGGAACTTAACCAAACCTAAACGGAACCAAGACCTAGGACCTACACCCCCAGCCATGCAACATCGATGTCTTGGAACCTGCGGGGACAAGCCACACGTGCCAGGGTTGCACCATGCCTTAAATTTAAATCCTGCATTCAACACCCTAAACCCTAAACCCCTAAACCTCAAACCCCTACGCCCTAAACCGCTTAACCCCTAACCCTAATTAAGGGATACATCTCATGGGTTTGGCGCGTACGGTCTCGGCTCTGACATCGAAGCCTTTATACCCAGAGCTGCCAGAAGCTACTGAAACCACACAGGGGTGACCTAAGGCGGGCTTCCTGAAATCTCAAGCCTCAACCCTGAACCCTAAACCCTGAAGTCTAAACCCCAAACCCTAAACCCTGAACCAAAACAACCCTAAACCCTCCCCCCTCTTTTCAGGGTTTTGTAAGGGCATTTGACAGATGCCAAAGCTCAACGTCAAGTCTCCCTTGCGGCCAAGGGGCGGGTGTATATCTGCACCATACTCCTGCGTTCGGTTCAGGGTTTTGGGGCTGAGGGTTTAGGGTTTGGGGTTTTGGGGCTGAGGGTTTAGGGTGTAGGGTTTTGGGGCTGAGGGCTTAGAGTTTTGGGTTTTGGGGCTGAGGGTTCAGGGGGCGGGCGTAGGTCACAGATACACATCGATAGAACACGGTAGCAGCGGTTCAGGTGCAAAAGAAATCCGAGAATCCCTAGGGCCCTAAGTCAAATCCTGAATCCGGAACCTTTGAACCCTCCAGAATATATATATATATATATACATATATGTCACCCCTGAACTCCACACTAAACCTGATGCATGCATACCACTCCGGTAAGGCCAGAGGCAATGCCTCAAGACCACGAAAGCACCAAACAAGTGCCTGAGAGATCTGAAGCCCAAATGCCCTGTGGTTTCTGTCTCAAGGTTAAGAGTGTGTGGGTTGTGGGCTTGTTAAGTTCACTGGGACCTTTCTATGAGGTACCCCAACAGTCCTCGATGTGAGGATTGAAAAAGCAAACCTAAGCATCCGAGCCTAATTTTCGGGAAGCTTCGAACGCACTGTGCTTTTTTTTGAGGGCCCTACACCCTAAACCCTAGTACTATAAGCCCTGAGCCCTATAAGCCCGGAACCCGAAACCGTTCTTGGGATTCTTGGGCTTCTGGATTTCCGAAGAAGGGGTTCGAGGGAGAAGGCTCCTTCGGTGACGATCCCGTGCACGGCATGGCTCAACATCCTATCGCCCAAGCTATCCGGAGCCCTAAACTCTAAACCCTAAGCCCTGAACCCTGAACCCTGACTCTTAACCCTAAACCCTAATGAACCCTAACCCTAACCCTAACCCTAAACCCTAAACCTAACCCCTGATCCCCATAACTGGCCCACAATTTAAAAACCACCAGAGGTTTTGGTGACTGTGGCTCCAGTTTTCGCTTTGGTTGAGCCTTGCGCCCAGCAGAGCTTTGGGTTTTTGGGGCTAGTGGCATTGGGTGAGACGGTTCAGGGTCTACAGGGCTTGAGGTTCAGAAGAAGTCTAAGGGGATAGCAGCTGGGTCGTGGCTGCTTGAAGCTTGCGGCGACGGCACTAGTATTCCCAAGCGGCTTAGGGTGTAGGGTTTAGCTCATGCACGGCTGTACCTCACTATGTTCTTCACCCGTGCAGCAGGTCCGCAAAGCCCACCGCGTGTCGCGCCTAAGCCTCAAGCCACAACTGGCTCAAAATCCTAGGGCTAAACCCTAAAAACTAAACCCTAAACCCCTAACCCTCAAGCCACAACTGGCTCAACATCCTAGGGTTGTGTGACCTCAGGATCTGAGTTGCAAAAACCCTAAACCCTAAACCCGAAACCCTGTTGGAGCTTGACGGAGCCGTAAGTTGAACATCCCAATCAGTGCAGCTGGGGAAGATGGCGGCACGAGCATTTTTGAACGAAGGGCACCACGCAAATCGAGGCCACGTCTTTGAGACCACGTGGTGATTTCACATGAAGGCTTGAGCTTGGTGTTGGGTGGACAATGATTGGGCTTACGGTTTAGGGTTTAGGGTTTAGGGTTCATCATGCCGGTTTCCGGTAAGCTGATTGTAGAGACTTCCAAGGTGAGAGTTTCCGGGAGGGAAACTGATGCAACAAACTGCACGTGAATTCTCAATAATAAACATTCTAATAATAGCAGTAATAACAATTAATAGGAATAATAATAATATTTCCTCTAAGACTCTCTCCCTGTCTCTCGCTAAGTTCTCGGGAAGACGAGTGTCGGCTGCTGCTTCTGTGCCTGGTCGCCAGAGCCATGTGCTGACATCCATGCATGCTGGCAGGGCCACGGCGTCATGCGGCCTATGGCTCGTTATGGCGGATATCTGCATGATGGTCAAGCATTGTGATGTCGTGACGGCATGGAGTGTTCGCATCGTCGCTTGGAGGAGTGTTGCACGCAAGCTTGCTCTCCTTAGTAGCGTGGGTGGGCGGGTGGGTTGGTGGGTCTGTGGGCATATAAGCTGGTTGTAGTCGGCCATAGGTGGCACGATGGGAGGGAGTGGTAGGAATTAGACTAAACTGGGAAGCCCTGCAGGAAGCTGTGCACAGCGCAGCCGTATTCCTAAACCCTACCTAAACTCCGCAAAGTAAGCAAAAGACTGGCCCAAGACCTATACAAGGCTACTAGTTTACATACTCTTGGGGTCCAGGTAAAGCCGTTGAGAAACCACCAGGCGTGACTGACACCCGAAGCTGCCATGTTCGCCTAAGTCTGCCAAGAAGTGTTAATTACCATGCTATGATGTACAGACGTTGTTCCCCTTCCACATATCTCAAGCCGAAAAGACAGACAAGAAAACTCTGTCCATGAACGTCTGAAAAAGTTCACTCTTCTGACGCTATGGAGCTTCGGGTGGACTACGTGCTACGTCGTCAAATAAAGCGATCACAGCGAGTCAGGCGCGCCGCCTGCATAGCGTGGGCGTGCAAAGGAGACCCTCGCGTTCCAGTTCCAACTTGCTTCAAAGCAAAAAGCCCGAGAACTGGGGTTTAGTGTAGGGTTTAGGGTTGAGGGGGGTTGAGGGTTTAGGGTTTAGGGTTTAGGGTTTAGGGTTGAGGGGGGTTGAGGGTTTAGGGTTGAGGGTTTGTTCTTCCTGTCCAGGTTCTATACGAAGACCTCGGAAGTTCAGCCGTGAAGTCCTAAACCACAAACCCCAAGCCCCTAAACCCTAAACCCTAAACCCTAAACTTCTAAAGCCTAAACCCTAAAGCGACTGCAACTTCAGGACGAGACCAGGATCGTGAGCTCGAGGCTTTCAGCGGCTCGTTCAGACTCGGACTTTGGGAGGCTTAGGGCTTTGGGGTTTAGGGCTTTAGGGTCTTAGGGCTTTATAGGGCTTAGCGTTTAGGGTCTGAGGGGCTTTATAAGGTTTAGGGGTTTAGGGTTTAGGGCTTTATGAGGTTTAGGGTTTAGGGTCTTAGGGCTTTATAGGGTTTAGGGTCTTAGGGTTTTATAAGGATGCTGTAGGGCTTCCTATCTATGGAGCTTAGGGCTCAGGGTTTGGGACTCGGTGTTTAAAGTATCACCGCCGTTTTTAGCAGATCCCCGGCAACTGTAACCCCTTAACAACGCAAGTTCCTTCGCTCTTTTATGCTCGGGAACGGAGACTTATACTAACTCTAAGGGTCCAAAGGGCCCAATAATCAGGTACCGCGGTTTAGGACAGAAGCTATGTCGGCTACTAGTTTAAGGAGTATAGGATAATTAGATACTTGGACCCTTAGGGTACTGGGATCCGGTCACTGCTTCAAGTCCTAATTGATAAACGTCTGGAGCTTGGGGGGCCTCAGGCCGAGACATGTTGAAGTCGAGGGTTTGGGGTTTAGGGTCAAGGGTTTTGGGCTTAGGGTTCAGGGTTTAGGGTTTAAGGTTTAAGGTTTAGGGCTTAGGGTTGAGGGTTGAAGGTTTGGGGTTTAGGGTCTATACTATCCGACCTTTTTTGCTCCATTGGGCCCTGCCCTAGGTATCCTGCTACTTCCTGCCAATTTAGAGCAACCCCTCCAAAATATATACCGTTGCTCTAACCCCAAAGCGCGTAAGCCCGGAATCCTCACATCTTGAACATTGAGTTCAGCCTGTATACTTACGGTTTAAGGTTTAGTTAGGGTTTAGGGTTTAGGGTTTAGGGTTTAGGGTTTAGGGTTCCTTAAGCCCTTGGCATCCTTAGTATCCTTCGGACCCGTAAAAGCCATAGTTACTGAACCCTCAACACTCTCGTAGACCCCGGGAGCCCCAAACCAGAACCCTTATGAACCCCTAAGGGTTTAGGGTTTAGGGTTTAGGGTTTAGGGTTTAGGGTTTAGGGTTTAGGGGCCTAGACCCCAAACCCTGAACCTCTTACGGGCCTATGTAAACCTCAAACCCTAACCCATCTAAACCCCTAATGGGTCTTATGGGCCTAAACATTAAACCCGAACCCTTCTAAGCCCCACATTGGGCTTTCTAAGCCCTTATAAACCCTAAACCCTAAACCCCTAAACCCCTATTTATAAACCCTTCACCCTAAACGCCAAACCCTGGGCCCTAGACCCTAAACACTAAACCCTAAACGCTAAACCCTAAACCCTAAACCCTAGACCCAAACTCTTGCCTTCCGCTGCTCCTCCGACTTCGCCCAAGGTTGGCAGGTCGTTCCTTCTCAAGGCAAGGCAGGGCCAGACAAAATCAGGGTACCTTGACCTACCAAAACCCACTTTTTTTAGGGTTTTAGGGTTCAGGATTTAGGGTTTAAGGGTTTAGGGTTCAGGGTTTAGGGTTTAGGGTTTAGGGTTTTAGGGTTTAGGGTTCAGGGTTTAGGGTTTAGGGTTTAGACCCTAAGGTGCAGGGCAGGCATCCCTGTGGGCTCCAATCTTTTTCTGGGACCCCGTGCAAGAATTCATCGAAGTCATCTTGAAACGGTGCCGCCACGGTGGATGGCACTGCTGCTTCTTGCACCTGCAGCACGATCAGGGAGTTTGGGTTTAGTCGCTTCGTACCTCTAGTCACTCTAGTCCTCACAATGTCATCATGTTCAGCCCTAAACCCTAAACCCTAAACCGTGAAGCAACAGGGTTCAGCAGCTTAGGGTTAAGGGTTTATAGCGCACACCACAGATTCGCAATCGAAAGGCTCTGCCGGCACCCTGAACCTGCAACGGGGATCCAAAAACATAAGCTTCTCCCCAAGCTAGAAATCGCAAGAACAGAGGGCTAGAATAGAAAGTGCCTCAACTCCAAGACCCTGTATCAACCCCACATCCCGAAATCCATCAAATCCCACACCCTAAACCCGCAAGCAGCAAAATCCTAGATAGGGTTTAGGGTTTAAGGTTTAGGGTTTAGGGTTTAGGGATATGTCTGAAAACCCCCACACACACACACAAAGCGCTTCTGCTGAGGCTGGTACGGCAGGAGCCCCCACCTCTTCTGCCACAGTTGCTGGCACGGCCGCCGGCACGGCTGTTGGCACGGCTTCGCCGCAGCTATCGAGAAAAGTCCTGCAGATTTGGGTTCAGGGTTTATGGGTTTAGGGTTTATGGGGCTTAGATTGTTGTATGGCTTCCGTCGCAGTAGGGTTGAGGACAGCCATCGGCGTTGTTGTCTCAAACAAGGCTCAGGCGTGATCTTTGTTCTAGGAATAAGCTCTCCAACTCTGCGAAAACATACCGCAAAAAGGGAAACCTTCCGTAGAAGCACCCTCGAAAACCAATCAAACCTGCACAACCCTTTTAACAAAAAATGGCAGACAATACTAGTATAGCCTAGCACATCATGTGAATCACCAAAGTGGACGCATCCTGGCAAAAAGGATTGACCAACGGTGTGTTTCCCAGTGTCCAGAGCATAGTATAGGGGCCTTAATAATCAGAATGGGGTTTTGTGGTATGTTATACTATACTTCTAATGAGGAACCCCCAACATACTACAGGTAATTATTAAGGCCCCTATATTACTCAAACCCCCGAACCCAGAGATCCCAATATCCCTTAAGTAAGGAATATACCTTAAATTATAGGGCCCTTTAAGGTATATTCCTTAATCAAGTGGGTATCGGGCTCTGTGGGAACAACCCTGAACCGCATGAATCTGAGACCCGCGCGAAAAGCCGAGCAGTGACTGAATGAGGGCCTTGAGTCCGGATTGGAGAAGGTTTAGGCTAGGGTTTAGGGTTTAGGGTTTAGGGCGGTGTTCGGGTTCAGAGTTGGAAGGATTCAAGGTTTAGGCATGTAAGGGGCCTTAATGATTAGAATAGGGTTTTGGGGGGCCATTATACTATAATTATAAAAAGGAGCCCGCAAAATAGTTTAGGTTATTATTTATGCCCCTCTAGTAGGGTTTGGCATGTATGCTGGTGTGGGCTAGGGTTGGAAAGCCTGCACGGCCGACTCCAGCCAGGGTATCTTCGGCCCGAGCGAATGGCATCTGATACCAAAACCTCCGATTGGATACGCCCTGTGCCGAAGGGGAGTCTGTTAAGCCAAACATGCACCAAAATGGTATCTTGAAGCCTAAACCCGATATATTGGTGCGTTAGCTGCGCCTGCACCACTCCAGCCACGTGCTCACGCGCGCGAGCCTGACACTCGGAGTGCCCCAATTTGAAAGCATGAGGGATGGCAGTGATGATAGTAAAGTACGATATATAGTTTAGTATAGTATGTTCTCGTATAATCTCAGTATACTACGAGATAGTGCATGCAGGATAATATCAAAAAAAGATAACAGCAATCGACTTTGGGTCTCGGGAGTGGTGGTAATGGTGATGATGCTCAGCACCACTACCACAACATAGCTTCCCAACTAGACTCCTTGGGGTTCCTGTTAATATAACTATACTGTAAAGGAGCCCACCAAGCCCCATTCTAATTTTTCAGGCCTCTATAGTATATCAGCCACCTGAGGTGTTCATGGTCAAAAGTCTGGGTTGGTGAGACATTAGTACAGTCAGCGCTTTTCAATTCTGTCGCACAAAATACGCTTAAGGGTGTAAGGATCATGGCGCACACAGACTAAAGATTACCCACCAGCATTTCACCACCCTAATTGCTACCATATTGTAGACTCACCATGAGTTCGAAAGCTTCCGAAGCAGCTGGCGAAATGATTGGCCGAGACCAAAATAACAACCCTTCAAAAGCGAACTGCAACTAAACGCTCCACCAACCCGAATATAAACCTCGTGGTAACATTCTTGCTCGTAGCGCCTTTTCTGAAATTTCTGCATAGATCATGCACCCCCTTGCTATACTTTACTTAAGCCTGCAAGACACTAATTACAAAAAAAAGATAATCCCAGACACACTGCTCTTCAAACCCTGTCAGCCTGTAATGACCCTCAGCACTATGAACAGCCCCATCAAACCGAAAAGCCTTTGCATAACCAATCCCCTGCCCTTAGCAACCAAAAAGCAACTGCAGTTGTTTCTTCGGTGCCCCCCTCCCCCAGCCTAACCCCAAGCCTTAAACCCTGAATCAAAAATAAAACCATCCTAAACCCCTAATGTAGTGTCTTGAATAATTAAAATAACTTTTGGGGGGGTTCCTTATTATTGTGATTACAGCATAGTATACCCCCAAACCATATTCGAATAATTAAGGCCCCTATCTTACCTTTACCCATAGGCCCCATAGTAGTTCCTTTTTGGGGTCACCTTATAGGATTCTAGATATGAACCCCAAGAAGGAACTACTCTGGGGCCTAGAGTCGCTTGTTCGGAGCCTCGGAGTCAGCGCTGGTTTTCGCTTCCAGCAGCCTCGCAGCATGGACCGGAAGGGATGTTAAAACCCTAAATTAAACCCGAAACCCCTAGTGATAAGCCCCAAACCCTAAACCCCAAACCCCTAAACCCTAAACTCTAAACCCCTAAACTCTAAACCTCTAAACCCTAAACCCTACAATAATCAACCAGCAGCAACACCATCACCACCCACCCTCGTCGTGCTAGTGGTGACTTTGATGGTAAGCATCATTGGTGCTGCCAGTCTCCCCAGCGTCCCTGATGCTATAGATGACTGGCCCCTAAACCCTACTAAACCAACACACACTCCAAAACTCAAAAGCCCTACTACTACATCTAAAAACCACAAACCACAAACCCAAAAACCCTAAGCCCCAAACTCCAAAACCCCAAAAATACCCTGAACCTGGCTGCACCCTCCGGACCCCATGCTCTTAGGACGGCGCTTCATAGCCAGATTGTGCTGGTCCTGCAGGCGAGCGAGTGCCCTTTTTGCGCTCCAGGTTATTTTTTCGCTCGGGTCTCTAAAGTAGAAAACACCCCCCAACTGATTCCTGAACCCTAAACCCTAAACCCTAAACCCTAGTCGTTCCTGCATGGGTGATGTCAGGGCCCCACTGCTACCCTGAAACTCCTGGTTCCCTCCCTGGAGGTTCAGCGACCATCGAACTCCAAGACAAAGTACGGTTCATGATGTGGGGGTTTCCGAAAGTAGGGGACCGTAATATAGTACCCTAAATAGTAGGATCCTTATCATAGGGCCCCCAAATAAGGTACCCCTTATTATCGGAAGCTCCCATGTGAATCCTGCATTACCCAGAATATGGCATGTACCATCATTCAGGGTCCTTATTAAGGTAATGCAGGATTTCTATCATCAACCGTATGAACACCGGGCACTCGGTAAGAGGTTCGGGGTCAGTCGGGATCGCTGCACCCATACGAAGCTAGTTGGCAACTTCAATCCCCCGAAGAGCGCCTGCTACTCTACAACTGAGAGGGCCAGCAACAATTGAAAACCAATGCTCATGCCCTAAAGCTGCGACAACGAAGCATACAGCCTCTAAGGCACATCACTATCAAGCCCCGAAATCTACAGTGAACACATGCGATCCTCGTCGAGATTTCGCTGCTTTTCCAGCAGGCGCTGCCAACCCGCGTGCTGCTCCTGCTCTTGGGACTCGTCAGAAGCTCATATTGAGGGTTTTTGGCTGACATAGAAAAAATGAAAGAACTGCATAAGGATCAACCATAATATTGCTCCCAGATTCTATGAAACGCCTTGCTAAAGCCCAGCTACCCCTAGGCCTAAACCCGAGCCATGCTACAACGAAAGAGACACCCTTCAACAACGTGAAGACTATATTAAGCATCCCTAAGAATGATATTGGTAATTCTTGAGGCGTCCATCGTACCCAAAACTTAGCAGAGACGCAATGAGTGAACCAGGCCCCAGAGTGGAGAAATTTGGAAATGAAGGAGGTGAAGAGCGCAGAGAACAACTGGGGGACGGCGTTGAACAAAGAAAAACAAATCAGACACGACTACACAGCAACACTCGAACCCAAGAAACCCATCTTCACCATTTTGCCCCAATTAAATTTAAGGTCATGACCCGTAACCCAGCAAAGCTGTCGAGGTCCTGATTAGCAACTATACCCTAAACCCTAAACCCTACCAGGATCCTGAAGAGCCTACATACCTTTTTAGGGCTCCTTACTATGATTTCTTTAAATAAATCTTTAAAACGGTAGGTTCTTTGGGGTTAAGGTAAACCCTAAACCCTAAACCAAAAAACCCTAAACCCTATACCCGAAACCCTAAACCCTATATATACCCTAAACCCTAAACTCTGTAAACCCTAAACTA